GTGCGTATTTTAACCCAAATATGAGTGAAGGATGAGTGTAGGATGAGTGGCGCGATCTTGTAGTCTTGTTAGTGACTAAGGCCGACATGTTCCTTAGACACAGCTGTTAATTAATAGCCCATACAGCTAATGGCAACTAAGGGACCTACAGTTTATAGTGGAATCCGAACCACATTTTTCCTTGTAATTTACGAATTGGTCTAATTATCAGGATAGTACCGCGGATAGTCGTAGTACTCACTAGTGCGGACGTTAATGCACACCAGGGAGCATCGCATCCACAGTGCATCCCTATAAATATCCACAATTCGTGACCTCCTAAGTAGCTGGATTACAGGACCACGCCACCCCTCAAAGTCCTTACCCAGAAAATTAATTGGTGTTATTTTAACAGTTGGGTTGAACTTTGTAGTTCCATTTACAAACAACTACTTATTAGAAAATTGAAATCTCTTTTTCTTATTATCGACTACATTCATAGACTGTGGATTAATATTATCTCAGAAATAAATGATTTGATTTGTTTGGATGGTAAATAATAGAATGAATGAAGTGACACATAAATAATCAACTGATAAATTTATCAATTTCCTGGAAGCGTCAAACTGAATCCCTAATCCATTCTTACAAACTGTATGTATAATGATTATCGAGCAATAAAAATTAACCTCTTCTGCTTTGAAACTCAAATATGATTGATAGGCTGTCGTAACCACTCAATATATTACAGTATGAGTAAATCTCCAAGAACAATAAGATTGCATGGTTTTTAAAAGTTTCAAGAGAGGAAGCACTTAAGATTTACTGATTGTGAATGTGAAGTGTTTGGATACTATGATATTGTGTAACTCATTCAGAAATATACAAAGAACATATAATAATTCAGACTTCTTGTTGTCAAAATGCAACATAACATACTCAGGGTGTCTAGTTTATTTCCATTATAAAATTCAAGACTAATTCCAGACTTTTCAAGACTAATTTCAGATTTTTCAAGACCAGTTTTTTCAACAATTAGTGGGTGTTGATACCAAAATGTATCGATTCTCGATTCTTGATACCGATACCAATTTTTTAGTTTAACCAAATTTTCTAAATAATACTACACCAACCCCTGTCTTTGTCATAAAGTAGTATTATGATAATGTGGTGTTTTCAAGTAAAGAAATGATGCAGCAATAAAAAATTCTAACTAGCAAATTTGGTTTTTTTTTATCATGAAATCTTCCGCGTACTGTACGTTTAGACATCATCATTGACTGCAGCGGTTACAGAAACGTGATCGTCGTCGTCCGCGATCACGGCAAAATCATGAACATTTCCCGCGGCTGTTTAGACATCACCGTCGTCTCCCGCGGACACGGAAACGTTATCGTCGACGTCCGCAATCACGGCAAAATCATTAGCATTTCCCGCGGCCGTGTAGACATCATCGTCGTCTCCCGCGGTCACGGAAACGTCATCGTCATCTCCCGCGGTCACGGATACGTCATCGTCATCTCCCGCGATCGCGACAAAATCATGAACATTTCCCGCGGCCGAGCAGATATCATCGTCGTCTCCCGCGGTCACGGAAACGTCATCGTCATCTCCCGCGGTAACGGAAACGTCAACGTCGTCGTCCGCGATCGCGGCAAAATCATGAACATTTCCCGCGGCCGAGCAGATATTATCGTCATCTCCCGCGGTAACGGAAACGTCAACGTCGTCGTCCGCGATCGCGGCAAAATCATGAACATTTCCCGCGGCCGAGCAGATATCATCGTCTTCTCCCGCGGTCACGGAAACGTCATCGTCGTCTCCCGCAGTCACGGAAACGTCATCGTCCTCTCCCGCGGTCACGGAAACGTCATCGTCATCTCCCGCGATCGCGACAAAATCATGAACATTTCCCGCGGCCAAGCAGATATCATCGTCGTCTCCCGCGGTAACGGAAACGTCATCGTCATCTCCCGCGGTAACGGAAACGTCGTCGTTCGCGATCGCGGCAAAATCATGAACATTTCCCGCGGCCGAGCAGATATCATCGTCGTCTCCCGCGGTCACGGAAACGTCATCGTCATCTCCCGCGGTAACGGAAACGTCATCGTCGTCTCCCGCGGTCACGGAAACGTCATCGTCATCTCCCGCGGTCACGGATACGTCATCGTCATCTCCCGCGATCGCGACAAAATCATGAACATTTCCCGCGGCCGAGCAGATATCATCGTCGTCTCCCGCGGTCACGGAAACGTCATCGTCATCTCCCGCGGTAACGGAAAGGTCAACGTCGTCGTCCGCGATCGCGGCAAAATCATGAACATTTCCCGCGGCTGTTTTAGACATCACCGTCGTCTCCCGCGATCACGGAAACGTCATCGTCGTCGTCCGCGATCGCGACACAATCATGAACATTTCCCGCGGCCGAGCAGATATCATCGTCGTCTCCCGCGGTCACGGAAACGACATCGTCATCTCCCGGCGAACGCGACAAAATCATGAACATTTCCCGCGGCCGAGCAGATATCATCGTCATCTCCCGCGGTCACGGAAACGTTATCGTCGACGTCCGCAATCCCGGCAAAATCATTAACATTTCCCGCGGCCGTGTAGACATCATCGTCGTCTCCCGCGGTCTTGGAAACGTCATCGTCGTCTCCCGTGGTCACGGTAACGTCATCGTCGTCTCCCGCTGTCACAGAAACGTCATCGTCGTCTCTCGTGGTTTCGGAAACGTCATCGTCGTCGTCCACTATCGCGGCAAAATCGTGAACATTTTCCGAGGCCGTGTAGACATCATCATCATTGGCTTTCGTGGTTACGTAAACGCAAGACGACGATCGCGGCAAAATCATGAAAATTCCCGACTTTGAAATCAAATTTAAGACTAAATCCCGACTTTTCAAGACCGTTTTGAAATTCAATACTAATTCCCGACTTTCCCGATTTTCCCGACTACTAGACACCCTGCATACTATATACAGGGTGAAGCAGACTGCCCGTACACAAAGTATAGCGGCCAAACCGATCGAGGTAGATTGTTCGTAACGACTTACACCCCTCATTTTTACCCCGTAGAATTTGGTGAAATTATTTTGGAATCTCCCAAAAGCACCAAAAAGGCTGCCAACATAAAAAACCAAGAAAATTTCCCGAAGGTCTCGTGGTAAGACCTAGATCCGGTCGGGATTACTTTATCATTTTGGGGTCCTCAGAGGTCAGAAACATCCTCCGTTCAAATTCATATGCATGTATGTGTCCGTTAGCAAATTAACTTGAGCAAAAATTATCCAATTGATGGGATAAAAATAGGTTTTTCTCATTTATACCTTAAAAACATGAAATGTCTCTACTTTTTTCTACATTGTTTTGTAGAGCTTAAAAAAGACATATTTTAGTACCGGTATACTGAAGCATAGTTGTATGCCTAAAGCACGAGTAACACTAGGCTGCTTGTCTGCCACTGGTGATCAGCGTCCGTGGGACCTCATATTGAGTACTGTACTTAAGCAATTATTGAGGATGTGTGAGACAGAACAGCTGCGAGGTTTTGCAACAGCTTACTGTAAGCTGCTTTTTGGACGGTCCTAAATACTTCTCTGTAGAAACGTCCCACAAGCACGCATAGTTTTGGAATAAATTTGAAAAATCAATAACCTGCTTCCCCCACCTCAGTCATTTCTACTCTACAAATTACTGATTTTATTTGCCTAGTTTAAAGCTCAGTTCCAGTCGCCATGTCGTCCTTGGGTCCTCTTAAACCAGTACTTTATCGATTACGGTATCAAGGTGTGAAAGAAAAAGAACTTTATTCAAAACTGCTTAACCCCAAGATGCCTCTAGTGGACCAGGCCTTGGATACAAAATAAGGAACAGTGAGGAGTTTCTTCAAGCCGGTTGCAAAAATTAAAAGAAGAGGACTCAGAAACATGTACAGAAATGTTTTACCAATATACCCACATAAATTCCAAGAACTGCTAGAAATAGTTAAACCTCTAATTGAAAAAGAAATTGTGATTTTTGTCCCCACTGGAACGCTTCTAGAGGTGGTCAGACTACTGGCGTCAGCGAGTCCGAGTGGTCAAGTGACTGCTGGTCGCCGGTGCCTCACTACCAAAAGTAGAACATGACCGACTTTGCCAGCTGCTGACAAATACTCGCCAGCTGGCGGTGCCAGTTGCGAATTTTGTGGTCACATTAAGCTTGCAGTAGGGGCTTATACCAGCTAAGTATGGTTTATTAGCCGCTAATGCCAGCCTAGTGTGTCCCGTGCTTAACAATTAGGGAGAAAATTCAAAAAAGTGTAAATTTGAAATTCCCGTGTTAATCGAGGTAATATAAACTGTAGTAATTTGCTTCTTTACATCAAATTTAACAGTTTTGTTCATTTCATACTAAGCTATCGACGTTTCAAACCCAACTCTTTACCCTCCTTAGTAGAATGTTATTTAAATTGGAAATAAATCTGACAATTTTATGGGAATATTTAAGTGAAAATCCAACCAGATAAATGGATATTTGCTAAGTCTACAGGTTTTCCGTGGCGGGGGTCAGCTCCATTATCAAGATGCCACGGAATTTTCTCATGATCAAAACAACGACCTTTGACCTTTTAGTCAGTCAAACCATAGATAAAACATGCTCCCTTAGTAGATTTGTCATCCTTATGGAACAGCTGAAGACAATTTTAATGTTAGTTCTGTACATCCAACAGTAGAGGTTGTGTTTTGTTTACAATTTGTTTCTTGTTATTTCAGTAATTTAAAACCTCATTTAACCAAATAAAATGATATAATCATAAACAATTACTGGTCTCCTAGTTATATAACCAAGTAGTAAGCACAAATCATGAAAATAACCCTAGAAACAAAATTTTGTCTACACCAGCGATCAGTGTGGACGTACATGAACTAGACACGAAAACCAAGCTTCAAAATTTACAATGGGATGAGGAGTCTACTTGTATTGCTTAGTCTATGGTGAAACACTGTAACCTGACATCCACCATCTGATTTACTCACCTGTGTGTGTTTTCGTGATGTAGTGAAGTCCTCGTGACTGCTGACACGGCGAATGCTGTCGGATTGGCAGCTCTGCTTCTCCTCCACACTTGGCCGTTCCTCAGAATTGGACCTGTACAGTGTTACCTACATGAGCGTCTGAAAAACACTAGTTTCCGTTGTACAGCTACCTGCAAAAACTTGGCTGTTGAATTAAAGCTCAAAAATTTCACATAGGGGTATCAACAAGTTTGTAACATAATATATGCAGTAGGAAATGCCATAATTTGAATAGTAACAAAGACAAACGGTCAAACCGACTTAGGCTATCAGTAAAATTAAACACTTGAAGTCAATGATCAAATTTAGGGCACAAGGGCCTAGTTTATATGGATTGTTATTGGGATGGTATGCTTTTCTGAATGGGAAATAAGTCACCAAGTATCACCCCTTCCTTGGTTGATAATACTGTCAAGGACAGTGAGATAGTAAAGTAAGAACCACATTAAGTAAGAAACAATGAAACATCATCAATGAATGGACACTGAGTCACAGGCTAGTGCAAATGTTCTAAATATCCTGGTTCCATACAAAATCTGTATACAATTCAAAGTTTCTCAGTTGTCGAGACACATCATTCTTATTTCAGAACACATTTCTTTGTGTTTTAATACAATATCCTTTCTCCCTAACATGTGCTTCGGATTAGCGGGAATCACTATATCCCTATTTGAAACACAAAGAAGCATTTAACTTAAATGAAAACAAAAGTGTTTAATAAACCATTAGTTGAACTGTACTTGTTAACTCACCTGACGAACTTGCGGTCTAGACTGGCTGCATCACTGTTGTGACGTTCCTTGCGTTTCCGTTGTTTCAGCTCGTTCGGAACACTCTCTCCCACTCTGCAAAAAACAGTACCCACTGCTGCAAACTGTCCTGGCATCACCACAAGTCATACATTAGTGGGTTGAGTGCCTCTCTTTTTAACTCATTGAAAATTAAAATCTTCGTTTAGCACTCAAACTAAAAAAGTTTCATGGAAGATGTTTCCAATATATTTTATCCTCTAATTGCTGATTTTTACTCTACAAAACTTACTGATGCAAACAAATGTTGTAATAATTGGTACCTATGGTTGGAAAATACTTTTAAGAACAGCTCAAAACAAGGAAACTAAAAACAGTTTGTAGACAAAAGTGAAAAAATAAAAAAAGTATAACTATAATTTTTTACAAAAGATAATAATAGGGGTTAGTAAAATTAATATTTTGGTTTAAATGCATTGAGAAAATTCTCAGGAACTATCAATGATAAGAAATCAGTACTGCAAATTTACGGCAGGAATAATAGGGTATAAAAATTCCTTTTTTTAATATTAAAAGAGCCACCTTATTCTTTCAACTACTGTTCTGTTACTTATGAAGGTGTATTTTGAAGGCATAAAGCATGAAACGTCGGAAAACAGATACTGGTCAAGTTTGACTTTTTTAAATGTTAATATTTTTATTATATTATTACATTTAAGATTTTGGCTTTCAAATAAATTAATTAAATTTGCTCGGGAAAACGTATTTAGATCCGACTTTTTTAGTTGAATTCTAAGATGTACAAACAAATTTAAGTGGACACAAGAACATTTACTGTTAAAATAAACTGCTAGTTTATGATTTTTTAAGGGGTGGGGGGATGTAATTGGTCTGACCACTTAAGACCACTCACTTGTCGCAGTAAATGTGGTTGTAGTCTCGTATGAGACAGGCAGTGACGTGAGTAGTCTCCGGTGTGCTGATACCGTGGAACTCGGCACACAACAGCAGAGGTGAGAACACAGCTGGCAGGTTGGCAGCACTGGTTGGCTGGCGGAGACTGTACAGGTGCAACAACTGTAGCGTGTGACGCAGGGTTGCTGCATGGCGGGGAGGCAGCTCTTGTAGGGTTATGCGGGCTTGGCCACACCATTCTGTTGAGCCACCATATTCTGCAACAGTTATGAGGTTTGTACGTACACTTTAAGGCTACTGTACATTTAGATCTTAAAACCTAAAAATTCAAAAATGATTATGTCTAAGAACATGTAAAGAAATTTCTAAAAAGTTCTAAAAAGGAGTTGCCACTTACTGTGCACCAGAGTGACAAGTTCTGCAGTAGTCGCAGGCGACACCAGTGGTTCAGGCAGGTCGCGCAGCCACAGCTTGAGTAGTGACGCGACAGACGCTACATCAGCGCAAGTCTCTAAGTCAACGTCTCCAACACGGTTGAATGAAGCCTTCAGTTGCTCCACCAGTGCGGGGTTGCCTCCTGATAACCGGAACAAGCCTTCCACTAGGAGACCTGCACAGGAATACAAACGTGAAACTGTTTCTAGACAACTAAAACATATTCAACAAGCTTTTAGAAAATCTTTAATACTTTCAAATAGAAAATAATTTTCAGTTTGTTTTAAAATGTTAGGAAAACACTAGGAAAAGTTTGGGTTGAAGTTAAATACATTTTGTAAATGAGACGTACAGCTACTTGTCCGAGACTAATAAGTAATATATTGACAAATTGTTCCATAGTTCAATCAAAAAAACATCCCTCAACTTAATTTTATAAATCAAGTTTATCAATCTGTAAAAATTAAAACGCCGAGGAGAGTTCCATAACAGTACTTTGAAACAAGACAAAGTAGACGGAACTTTCTCACAAGTTCCTAAAAGAAATAAGGATGTTCCTTGAATGGGGAAAATGTGGATTCAAAATTAAACCTATACTACAAGTGCATAGCTCACCATAAGATTCAATGTAGTTGGACATTTTGATGAGCACTTTGGGAACGTGATCCTTGTTTGTAGGCAGCTCTTCTAGAGGTACAGCAAACACTCTGTTGACCACAGGTTTACGTAGGGAACTTGTAAACATTCGCTTTACCTTCGTGAGACGACCTTCCTCCTGCAATACAAAAATATTGTGTAAGATGATCTCCAACAGTAGCTGCTTCATGTATAGCCATATAAACAAGGGACCAGCACTGTTCAGTGTTCAGTATGTACTGACGTTATTGCAGTACTCTTATGTTCATTGAAGTACTTTGGTTTACTGATTTTGCACTCGGTTAAAGTGGTTAGGAAATTGTATACATTAATTTTTGTATAATACCACCTTAAACTGTTTCAGATTTGAACTATTGCAGAATCTATGGTAGTTTTCAGCGTCAAATGTGTCATCAGTTGCAGCTTACTGCCAGATGTTTTGCCCTTGCTTTGAAGATGCGTCCTCAATGGTCTAAGCCTAGTTCCTGAGAAGGTCTCTTCACAACAAGGGTGAAATGTTTGGCAGTATTCTACAACTGTCAACACAGTTGACGCCAAAAACTCTCATAGTTTCTCTCATAGTGAAAGGATTCACCAATCTTGTCAACCTACACATGTACAATTTACTTAGTTCTGCCACAGACGGGTGAACACGGTGAACACCGGTTGAATAGTTTTAGATGGGAAACCTCATCTTTGATGTCCCTCACACCGCTCAACCGTCTATAAGACCAGATAGTCAACTGCACTTAAAATGCTGGTAGTCTGACCCACCCTAGCTTAACAGTCCTGTAGTTTGTAGCACAAGGCAAAAGACAGGTTCATTAGGTAAAGCTTTTCATATATAAGACGTAGGAATTAAGCGTGTTATCATATTTTAATGAACGGAGGCTTGTAGCAAAGACAGAGTAAGTATGTATTACCTTATCGGAAGATCTGGGAGGTTGGACTGCGACAGAGTTGTTACAGAAGGTCGGACGGCGCATGATGTCACAGCAGCTGTCTTCACTTCCCCAGCCGCACTGGAAACAAAACCAAACATCAATATCACAATCATCAGTACTGAAAATATATAAACATATGTCTAATAACATTTGTAACATATATATTTACACTTATACTGTTGACTCCGTAAATGCATATAAAAGTGGTGATCAATTATGATTGGACACTTCAATCACCATCAGACACAGGCAAATGAATATTTTACTGTACCATCATTTACATGTATTTGCCACCTTGTGAGTCAACATTGCATCTTTATTTATGTAAAAACCGCAATAGATAGAAATATGCAGTTGGCGGGAATCATCTATTGACGTAGGGGGCACAATTTTTTTGAATTCAACGTTACATTCACATTCCCCCCCTTCCCCCCCTGCCACCAACTTAATTTTTTTTAAATAGCAAGGTACCCCTTGTGACATATCAAATAAAAAAGCATGAAATACAAAAATGTTTGATGAAAAAAAAATTGAAAATCGGTTCATAAATTTGTGAGATATTCCTCCCCCCCTCCCCCCGGAACTTAATTTTTTTTTAAAAGCAAAGTACCCCTTGTGACATATCAAATGAAAGAGCATGAAAAAAGAAAATTATTGGTGAAAAAAAATTTAAAATCGGCTCATGAATTTGTGAGATAATCCCCCCCTTTTGCTCTACCCATAACTTGTTTTTTAATAGCAAGGTACCCCCCTTGTGATATATCAAACGAAAAATAAATTTCACCAAACATTTTCTTTTTTCATGCTCTTTCATTTGATATGTCACAAGGGGTACCTTGCTATTAAAAAAAAAATTAAGTTCCGGGGAATTGGGGGGGAAATATCTCACAAATTTATGAACCGATTTTCAATTTTTTTTCATCAATCATTTTCTTTTTTCATGCTCTTTCATTTGGTATGTCACAAGGGGTACCTTGCTATTTAAAAAAAATAAGTTGGGGGCAGGGGGGAAAGGGGAGGATCGTGAATGTAACGTTGAATTCAAAACAATTGGGCCCCCTACGTCAATAGATGATTCCCGCAAACTGCATATTTCTATCTATTGCGGTTTTTAAATAAATAAAGATGCAAGTTTTTAAAAAAACACCCTGTATATATGTTACAGGTGTATTTTATTTACTTTATTTATTTGTTATGTACTTTCAGTTTTACAATATTCAAAGAATGTGTGTATTTATCAGCACTACTAAGGGCTAACCTAAATTTTCCCTAAGCATCACATTCTATATAACCTCACACACAGGTGTCCCATTATAATAAGAGGCGGTTTGCAAGGGGGGCTATAGGAATAGGCTGTCGGGGCTAAAGCTCTCATTATCCCTTAATACTTAATACTTTTTTGAAATGGCGACCAGGAAATATTAAACGTACATTTTGATCAAATACTTGACAGAGGTTTTTTGACACAGTTCTAGAAGTTAAAAATAGCTTTTAAAAATCACCAAATGGCTTAAAAATAGCAAATGTTTTGTAGGCGAACCCCTTCACACCCCCTCCTATTATGGAACACCCCCTTGTCAGAGCCCTAGAACCGTCACTGACTATCAGTATATTTGACAGTAAACATCCCATTTGTATCAATTGTCGATAGTACCTTATTTTCATTCTACATAAGGTGTCACATTTTGATCGGTTAAAGTTAAACTACAGTGTTACAGTATACAAAAAATGCCTATTTTTTAAAAGCTCTAACTATCTGAATTCAAATACTAAAATCAAAGGTACACTTTGTGTTCATAATTAAAATAAAATAAAATTACATTTTGTAATAATACTGTTGTATTTTAAAATGAATGAACCAACCTAGTACAGTAATCAATCATAACTAAAGTCTGAGGTTCCTGTGAAGACATTCTTCTACTGTTTAGAAACAATAGGATGCCAAGAATTGTCTGGATATAATCTGTCTCAAGTAGTCAAAGATGTTCTGAAATGGCAATTACCAGGTATAGGACCTTGTATTTCAAGGCAGCCTCATATTCAATGGGTCATAGTGGCATTCTTGTCAGATCAATCATACTCTATTTTGAATATTACCAATGATTACATTCATTGATATTAACAATCAGCCTCATTTCTCAATTATATCTATTGAATTGGGGCTTTATAAATAAAACCATATCTGTTTAAGTTTAAGTATTTTTTATATGAGTCTAATTTTAATTAATCTTAGTTTATCTGAAATACTGGCTATTGTGTATTTAATTGAAATTATAACAATTCATTTTAGTATTATTTCATTTACATTTCAATTACTACATTTACAATACCAATTGTTGCATAGCTGATAATTTAAGTAAGTTAAACAAAAATTCTATATCCTCCTCAATAAACATCTGCTAAATATTGAAATACATTATGTATAAATTAAATCCATCATCTTCAATTACATTCTATCATGTTGTCATGTGATATTTCAAGGCAAAAATAATTCTCTTATGCATGATGCATCATTCTTATTTATTACAATGTCATTATTTTTGCCCTTAAGACAGTAAGTTTTGTTTAATGTAAAAAGTTATTTGAAAGCTAGACCTTAATTTTAAACGGTACATAAAAAGCAGGATTAGCAGGATTAGAGCAGGATTTAGAGCAGGATTAGCAGGATTTAGAGCAGGATTTCTCTAAATGATTTTAATTTAGTCTGGTATTAATTTTTAAGTAGAGTTAGCAAATAGTAGACCAAAGTACTGTTGGATTTTGTTGGTTATGGGGGTTAATCACTTCCATTATTCTAAATGCCACGAATTATTCTTAGTAAGAATAAGATTATTCAATTGTAATATTTAAAATATATATTGTAACATGTCTCATTTTGTCTAGTTAGCTATATTGTATTTATTAACTGACTATGCTATAACGTTAGCTGTTTTATGACATTGTCAATAATTTTAAAAAATTCAAAGGGCAATAAACCGATTTAATTTCATTTCATTTCATTATGGGCCGATTATTTAGATCCAAAACACTCAGAAAAAATACAGTGACTACATTACCTGACACAGTATATTTCATTATTAGCCATTCCTTAATTTATTTAACCAGCTTCATTTTATCATTGAGTAAGAGACACAATCGCTGGACACAAGTGGAGGATGAGTAGCTTGTAGCTTTGTTACTGACTTAGATCAGCTGTTTTTAAGTATGGATACTTTATTAACCCATCAAGGCTGGGTTCAGTTTTGAGCCATTAAAAAGCTACAGAATTTTCTCAAGACTAAATTGGCTACCTTCAGATTCGGCTTACTAAGCAAACACTATTTAAACACTACTAGCTGTTACCCACGGGCTTCACCCCGTTTGACTTCATAAGTATTAATAAAATTATTGATTGGTTTGGTTAAGCTGAACAGAATACAGTAATTCAAACAAATAAGTACAGCTGAGGTATTTTTAACATTAGGTACCGCCTATGGAAAGTTCCCTTTAGAAAGGAATTACGACCTTAAAGGGCAATTTATGAAATAATGGATAGTTTTGCGCAAGGTTTCTCATCATGACGAACATTTTAAGTATATAGTTTAAGGGGGGTGTGACTTGTAGTTTTTTCAAAAGTTCATGGGTATTTGGGCTTTATATATAGATTTCTCAAAAGTTCATGGGTACTTTGGGCTTTATATATAGATATTCACTAACTAATTTGTGTTCAACAGGAAAGAAAAAAATTATGAGTCTGAGAATAAATATAATTAGGATAAAACTGACTACAATAATTAAATTGCAAAGGGAATGCTCGTCAGTAGTCTATCGGGACTTAGCGAAGTTTGGCGAGGTTAAAGTGGGGTAAAGCCAGTGACAATGGCCAGGACCGCTATCTGGGTCAACCCACTCTTAAGAGCTTAAGCCGGCTCCACTTCAGCAAAACTCCTGCTCTTTATGTACCGTTTAAAATTCAGGTCTACCTTTCACATTAATTTTTACACGGAACAAAAGATTAAATGGAATTAAAAGAAAATTCAGAGTAATTATAGATTGTTTTAAAAAGGAATCATTTTGATTAGAATGTCTTAAAGAAGGAAAGATTTAAGGCATCTCACTGGTCTAAAATGGTTTTGTATGATACTTTAGCCCCTAAACGTTTTCTTAACATTTATATTTCCCCTTTGACGTTATGTTTCCTTTCGGTGTTTTATCATGGAGTAACCTTTAATAGCTTAACGATCATGAGTATAGATAATACAGGGACAGGGGTAAGGTATTTCACCATTTGGAAAATGGTCTGTTTTAATCAAGTCAGTGCACCTAGTTAACTTTCGTGTTGTCAAATTGGCACAAAATCATGTAATGTTTCAACGTGTTTAGGTTGATAAAAAAATGTTCTAACCATCTCTATCACGATACTTCAATCAAACTTTGAGCTTTAATAATTTTCCCTACTAGCAAATAAGGATACACCTATTTAGGCTAAAACTTTTAACAACTTATCTACACAATACCAGAAAATATTATAAACTATAATTTAAACTACAGAATAATAATTTATTATAGACTTAGTAATGTATTGCTGATTAAATATATTTTAAACTTTCTCTGCACACCTTTGAAGCATTTATTCACTTGTATTTCAGGTAGCTTCTAAGAATGGACAGAACATGGTGACTGGTGACACAACAACCAGACAGACAGTCCAGAAGACCAATTGGTTGTGGTTGCAGGACATGAGGTCACTAGTCAACCAAGACTTGGTTGGGTCACCAAACCGGTTGACACAGGTCAGAACTCATCTCTTGGCCAACTGTCTTTTACAGACTTTGTACACCAGTTGAAATTGACAATGTAAATCACCTCTCGTAACTTCATAAATTTTTGAAATTAAAATTGTGGCTCGGTCCACGAATGTGTATAGTATTTGCCTAGTAAGGTCTCAGGTTCGATCCTGAGAAAATCCAGAAGATTTTTTATGGTTCTTTACAGGACCCAACTGTCATTGATCATAGGGCTTCCTACTTATCATCATTGCTAAATAAACAGTTGATCTTAGCGGACAAAAAAGGTACACAGAATTTCTTACCCTATTCTACACTCATCTTGCATTCTAATTCATCTTAAAATATACATACAAAGTATGTCAATAATCGATTAATTAATTGAAATTACCAAAAGTGGTTGATAAGGCAGATAGCAGACAGCACCTGGACATTAATGAGGGCAGATGATGATACAAATGTGAAAAATTAAATATTTATAGAATAAAACATATAACCAAAGAATAGAAGGAAATGTGAAGGAGCCAAGACTAAGTTGATAAAGAGGATATCTTAAAAGAAGTGGGGACAGTTAGTTGGTAAGGCTAATTGCAGTACCTTCCTGGGGGGTATAAGCAAGTTAACAAGTTTCAACAACTTTTAAAAAAATCAATGATTTTTAGAGGGAGAGCTCAATAAATAAATATTGCCGTTATGGCCAAACTGATCAACATTTTAAACGGTAATACTTAGTTTGATAACTAGTTAAAGTAGATACTTCTAATGCTAACTTACACATTTATACATGGCATTGTATAATCATACAATACAGTCTAAAACTTTTTTTTTCTAAAGCCCACAAAAAAGTATTTACAATATCTTTTCAAAAATTCCTTCCATGAAATTGACAACTTCAACTTACCAGCCAATGACAAACGTGAAGGTTGATTTAAGAGTGTGATGTGACAACGCAAACTGTTAATGACTGGAAACATGCGAGCAGAAAATTCCAGAACCAAGTCGTGGATAGTAATTTGGACCATTGCTGCTAACCAGGCAATCGTGTGCCTTCTAGAGGTCAGTTGATTGTGTTGAAAAATTTTAAACTTTTGTTATTTCTGTATAGTATTGTTCATTAATAAATAAAAATGTAATAAATTTATAGTTCGTAAAATTTAAACTTTGATTGTTCATTGAAAACTTGAAAATATATTCAACGTAATTCTATTATGGAATTTATTGTTTCAAAGCAAACTGGAAATAACCCAGAATGAATATAATATTTAGGTATGTTTTATGTAGAAGAAAATTTCTTTTACTAGAAAAGTGTTCATCTAGTTCCTTGATTATATTGCCACATCATCCATGACTGCATAGTTATATCACTCATTATTATAGTGTAAGTAATCAACTAATACTTTTTGATGGAAGAAATTAATTGGTAGATTAAAGAAAGTTGACATTCACCCATGCTCATTCTGTTACTTGTATTTTTATTAACTACTTGTCAAGATTATATTTAAATAGATAAACTATATTTTAAATATTTAAATTTTTAAATAATGACAAATTCAATTGGTTTCAAAGCAAGTAGTAATTTGGTCAGTTTACTCTGAAATGTAATTGCTTAGAGTTAAACAATATAAAAGGCCTGAACATTTCTCCATTGGTTATTGAACAAACAACGGCACAAGCAGAGTGTCTGTCATTAACAAGATTTAATCTTAGGCAGTGCCGGACTTAGGACTTTAGGGGCCCCGGGCGAATTTCCCAATGGGGCCCTAGGATTTCAGTTTGGGTGGGGGGTCCTCCGGGGGGTTTGGGGGGTATTTGATACCCCCCAAGCCAAAGGGGGGTCCGGGGGTCCTCCCAGGGAAAAACTTATAAATTTAGGTTTCAAATAGAGCAATTTAAGGCCAAATAAGCAATAAGTTCTATATAAAAAATAGTTTTAAAATATAACTATTTTAACATATTTTATATACAGCATCTTTTAAGTTTATACACAAAAAATAAAAATGTTTGAAACCTAATCTCTTACATTCACTATTTAAACAAACTCTGACCAAATGTTTCAATTGCTTTGTAGTACCAGTGACGGCATATTTGGTATGGTAGCATGGTAGGCTACCATAATATATTTGGATTAGAAGTATTGATATATTTTTGTTTATTAAGTATTTAAATTATCGATTATTGCTGTCGATTTGTATGATATTTCAATATTACTACAATATAGGTGTGATTATTTTATTTTGGTTTAAAATTCTTTTTCTAATAATAAAAATCAAACTAATTTGAATTTAAAATCTTTTGATTTTTGCCACGATTTAACCACCTCGTTAGAGACATATAGCGTGGTTTTTAATTGTTGAAGTAGTAAACGTTGCTCATTCATGTGTATATAGTTTTAATGTATATTAACTCATATACATAACATTTTCTGTTTTCAATTAGCCTACGTATCAACACCAATACAATTAAAATAGACTTGGAACTAGGTTTTTTTAAAATTAAAATTCATTAACCCTAAAACACAACTGTTGGGTTGTAGAGATTTTTGTTTTTCGTAAAAAACCATAAAATATAAAATATGACTTATGTTTATTTCCATAATGGTTTTGGTACCTATGGCATTCTCGTTTTTATAATATGTTTAAAGTCCTAGCATTAAAAGTACCATTGAGGACTTTCAAGTTTGAGTTTTTTATCAACGAGCAAAATCTTGCAATAAAAGTATAATAAACACTCACAAGCTAACTATTTATATGAGTAACTGAAAGATGTTTAAATGGATCCAATATTGATTAATACAACACAAACATAGCATTGAATACAACATTACTCACTTAAGCTTTGTTTTTGTACTGTTAGTTTGCAGTACAATTGTGAATCTCCATTTAACACAACACAATATCACAAACAATTTATTGTATTTTTGCCCCAAGCGCGGGGCCCCCTTCAACTCATTCGCCGCGGCCGTACGTTCGGGCGAGCGGCTTCATTGAAACTGAAACTTGTCCGTCACAGTCACAGCCTAACACATATGCTCGTGTAATCCAGGCCTAAGCGTGGGGCCCAATGCAACTCTGAGGAAAAGTCCCTTAGGGTCAAGAACTTCGTTCCTAGTAATGCCTTAAAATGCTCCTAACAATAACCTTAAATATAGGATAACGAAAATAAAAATAAAGTTGTTACAAAAGAAGGCCATTTGGTAAGTGTCTGATTAATTTTCGAAGTTATTAATAAAAACTACTGTGCAAGGGGGCCCCGGGCACTCGCCCCCTCTGCCCATAGGTAAGTCCGGCCCTGATCTTAGGCATTCAAATAATTGTAAACTTAATGTTTGTGAATTTATTTTTAGCAATGTAATTCATCTACGCAAAACCTAACAAAAATATAACAGGCGAATTCGCAGGACAGCCAACATCTTTAACTTTACATCTATACATTACAAGTCAATTAAGAGAAATTGGGAAATATTGTGTTTTAAGGGTAAAAAATAAGAAAAGGCAATTTTTACCCCATAAAACCCACCGTAAAGCCCCATTCCCATGGTCCAATTATGCTGGTTCGCGAACTCATTCAAGTTTATCTTGCCATACATTTTCAAGCAAAATTTTATAAAAATCGGACAAAAATTACCCAAGTTATCGGACATATGTAATGTATATAAAGTTTTGAACGAATGGTGTTTTTGGCCTCCAGGGGCATCAAAATGAAAAAGTATATCAATCCCGTGTCCAGGTCTTACCTACGTTAATAGCTATTTCCCTAGAGGGAAATTTTCTAAAACTACCAAAAATCAAATTGGCTGTAGTTGAGTTAAAGCCCACAATCTCAAGATCATATCTACTATCTATCTACATTGTACTTCATCCTGCCAATGTTGGACCCTGGTATACTTGATAGTGATTTTAATAAACAGTTCTGACTGAAGGTAGTCTTATAGCTGAGTAACAAAGCTGCAAAGATCATCTACTGTACCCATCTTGAACCCATGCACTGCTTAAACAACGAATACTTGATTCGTCACTAGATTTTAATCTTTAGGGTCCCAGATTCAAATTCAGTTAAATCATCAAAGGATTTTATCCAAGGGATAATGTCACGACCCTCTAGGCCTACCCTGAAGTAATGTGTAAAACGCAACAACCTTAGTGTCTTGAATTAGGTGGGACATAAAAATAAGCTAGCGTTGCTGTCTTTGAGGCTTGATTAATTGAACGTAAAATAGGTCTTACTATTTATTTCTAGAAGTGGCATACTCACAATACAGCCCTTGGCGACGTTCCACAGTTTGGCGGAGGTGGAGGGGGGAGGGGGGCTCAGACAGAGACACTGGAGGGGGTCGGGGGGTTCATGTCTCTGTCACGGCACATCTTGACAACTACGGCTGTTTCAGAAAATGGGTGGAGACCAGTCGGTACGTGAGCATGGAACTGGACCGGAGTGAGATTACCGCTTCACCCCTGTAGTCACTACTGCAACAAAAACATCAATTAATTAGTTAAATTGTAACTTCCTACCACTGCATGGAAATAATCACATTGCCACATCTGTAAAGAGTATGCAAAATAGCTCATTTCCGCTCTAGAGCGGAAATGACCATTCCCGCTCGCTAAGTTACTAAATCAGCTGACACGTTGATAGTATAAGTATTATACTAATTAAGTAATACCCCAATATATTTTAAGTAATAAGTTTTTTAGATAGGTACTTAAATCACATTTGAAAACTTAATTTCAAACCTTTCTTGGCATAAAACCAATAATTGACTTTTAACGTATTTTTCTAACTCTTCAACTTGGGAAAGCACAATGTTGAGTCTCATTTGCAATAAATTCTCAATAATAACTTACTGGGTGTTTACACAAAATGATCAATTCTAGCTTTGACTCATTCATCCTGTGTTAGAGGAAGAAACTTCTAGTTTTCATTATTTGTTAGGAAAACTACAAAATTTTTATAATAAGTTGTTTTGATTAGCAGTTCCTTCTTACATTGTTGTGGAATGAACAAAAACAAGACAGTAAAATTTTGGGATTGGATCCTCGAGAGAAGGCCAGTGTGTCGAGTGGTTCAAAGAAACTAAGCCTCCTATTGTTTTTCAGCGTAGATTTAAAATCCTCCATCAAAGAACACAATAAAAGCATGGTAGGATAAGTTCATAAACACCACAGAAAGGGAATGGTCGCCCAAGGGTAAGTGAAGAAAATATTCAAAAAATGCAACATGCAATCATTTCTTAATAATCTAAGACATTTAACAATATCTGCAGCTTGAGAGTTTAAATCAAGCATTCCACTCTACACAAAGTGTTACAAGGATTTTTGCATTATTGTGCTTACAAGTTACAGATACTTCAAAAGATTACACGACAAGACTGTAAAACACCCTGTATAACTTGTGATAAGTTACCTTAGTTTTGGCAAATATTCAATAGGTATGGGTACCTTTTGTATCATAAAACAAGTGAGCTTTGAAAACTCACTATGGTTTGCTAAAAAAAAATTGTTATTTTATCAAAATACCAGGACAAAATCCATAATTTCAGTGCTAAATCGAGGACTTATCAAGGATTCATTGTGATTTACAGTATTCAAAGTCAATGGTTGTGTATTTTATGTTCACCAATGCTATAGTGACAATAACAAAAGTTACAACCAAGGAAAACTTTAGATGTCATTATATCCACCTATGTCTAAATTATGTCAATTATGTAAATTATGTCTAAATGCCAACCTACAAACATCGCATGCTCACAGTTGGTGTTCAGAAGCCGAACTTGAGTTATGAGCAGACCTTACGAGGAATTAAGTTAAGGTCAACCATTCACTACTCACTTCAATTGGCAATTTAGGACAGGCCTTGAATCTCTTGGAACAAATGTTGCACATCAAGCGATACATTTTCCATACAATGTTCCACAATAACTGTTAATTATTTCTCTCTTTACCTGTTTCAGTGGCGCAAACTGAACGTTTCAGTTATTTAACATTTAAGATTTGAAGGCGCAATTTAAAGATTGTCTATGATTACTAATGAGTTGTATATTGTACTAGCTGTACCCGCGGGCTTTGCTCCGTTTAACTTCTTAATTTTCAAGATGAGCTCGTTCGCATGGCTTAATCACGTCATGGTTGAAGTTCGTTCGCTACGCTCACTCACCTTTAGGTTGGAGCTCGTTCGCTGCGCTCACTTGCCTTCAGGTTAGCTCGTTCGCTAATCTGCCACCAGGTTGAAGTTCGTTCGCTACGCTCACTCACCTTTTGGTTGCAAATTAGCTGTTGTCATAAATTAAAAAAATAATAGTGCTGCACCCTGTTGGTAATCCTTGTAACTTTCATGCTATTGAACATCATAGAACAGAACCAACTTGTTTAATTGAAACAGCTGTTAAGATTCATTAACTCCTTTTAAATATGAAAAATCATAAGGTTAACATGGGAAACTCCAGAGTCACTGGGGCGGAGCCCGAAAGCCCGATCAGAATAAAAACTACTTAGTTGCCCTATTTAATGCCCAAAGAATCGATGTACCGAATTTCAGCCTCGTAGGTAAATGGGAAGTGGGAGAATTAGTGATGAGTGAGTGTGTCAGTGAGTCAGTGAGTCAGTGAGGGCTTTGCCTTTTATAAGTATAGATTGTGTAATACAATTAGAAAGAAAACCAATAAAAAAATAAATTAAAAAAGTTTGTGTCACATAAACTTGTGTCATCGAGATTATTTTTTCTAAATATTAATCATATTTGTTATACACATATAAAAAATATCAGAAAATTTATTTTAAAAGTATAAAATCTTATAGCTCTAGTAAAAAACACCACTCAACATAAACACAGGTGGGCAGAGTCTGACAAAGTAATAAGTGAATGTAATGGATTGGTGTACATCACAAACATTCAAACTCATACTTGTCACTTGTATACCACAGGTGCGTCCTAAATGTCACTGCCCAAATGTCAACTTGTCCCACACATTTATTTATGTTGGTTAGAGCCAAAGTAGTACAGCTAAAATGTGAACTTCAATAGTAGGGGTGATTGAATAATTTCTCCATAATCATTTAGCATACAACAACGCTTCCATGTACAGTACTAAATTATTTGTTTTTTAAGCTCTACAAAATGGTAATAGTATTTCAAATTTTAAAAAGGTCAAAAATGAAAAACCCCATTTTTACCCCATAAAATCCTGTTCTCAAAGTCCAACGATGTGGTTTGCGAACTCGTTCGAATAAACGCAAATTTACACATTTCTACCTAATTGAGTAATCGTGTTAACGGACACACAAACAATGGCTGTTATTTCATTTTCATACATTTATAAATTTGAACGGATGGCGTATGGCTTCTGGGGACTTCAAAACCAAAAAAGTAATATGGTCCTGGGTCTAGATCTTACCTTGAGACCTACAGTAATAAATTATTCCCTATAGGAAATTCGCTAAAAGATACAGCAATCACAGTTATACATTTTAATATACAACAAGTTTGTTAATTTCCTATGCTAGTTGCTTTTTAAGAGATTTTTTAAAATAGAAAAGTGGGAATTTAATGTTGAATTACAATTTATGTAATTTAATTTTGAAAGGAAACCCAAATGTATACATTGGTAAAATTACTGTATAAAGATGATGCAGCAAAATATAATAAAGTCAGATATTTGATTTTTGCCTCAATGATTCTCGTCAAATTTTAATCACACTTAAACAAGTCCAAGCATAATCGTTCAGAGTGCAGCACAAATTATTGAAGTTTACGTCAAAATTGCATCATCATTTGAAAAAGTACATTTTTAATGTTCAGTATTTTCACTAAAACTAAAAATATCGAATATTCTAAGCACTGGGAATTCGTGAGCCTGCAAAAAGTACTTTAGCCTAATAGAAAAGCTCAACAAGTGTATTAGATAGGGCTGTTATCTGCCATTGACGTCATTCCTCCAACTAAAGTACAAGTTTAGTACATTATAACATGGTGATAAGTGTTATCATAGGTAACCTCTGGAATGATTAAGTTGAGCATGTTGCGTAGGTTGAGGTGGCTTCGATAGCAATCATTTAAGTTAAATAATAGCTTAAGGAATTAAATAAGTTAAGGAATCGCTTGATAATCTAAATTGACGAGTTTACATCCTCATTGAGTACTTCTGTTGGTTAATCGCATGGCAAGTGATCTCGCAAAAACGCAGAAGGCGTAAACATATTTTCGGATTATTTTGAGGATTGTGGATTTTATAGCGAGAGTGTATCCAAACAAAAGCTAGTATTTAACAATACTGTAGCTTTAAAACTAACACAACCTAACCCAACGGAAGGCAAATTTTTCACCAAACCCCTTTACCTAAATTACCTTTATTTTTTTGTGAATTTAGCACCCGGAATGAATTCAGTAGGATACATGCCCACTGTAAAAAAATGTTTATCAGAAACTATTGCCAGTTTTCCCAAGAAAAGGTTATATTATTGAGTCTAATTAATTCCAAGCTTAGTACGATTTTTTTTATTTAATTTTTATCTAAAATCTTGTCAGCATGGAATTAATAAAATGCTTAAATGGGAGGTACAGTGTACTAAAATTCTGGGGTGAAAAATCCAGGCCGTACAATTTGAGTTTCATGAAGGGGGTAAAATTCCGGCCCATACACTCTAGGTTTTATAATTTAATTTGTTCTGATTACATTTACAACCGTGAAAAAATGCATATAATTAGGCCTATAATTCCACTTTTATATTATTCAACTCAGGTTGTGCAACTCAAAAGTTCGCGATCGGAATTTTACCCCCTAGGCTGTGACGTTAGTTTTGCTCAAGGGGTGAAATTCCGCTAACCCTTGCTGCAACCTGGATAGCCAAAAAAGATGAAAACCCATCCCGGGCTAGGTTCTAGCCTAGTTGATCAAAAATATTGATTTCATGACAGAGGATGTGGTATTTTATAATTTTATGTAGACGTTTATTCATTAGGCCTACGATTGAACACGGGAGATTTGTATAGTAATTTAATGCATCAAACTACAGCAATAACAAATTCTGACTGATAAATTTTACGTCATAGGTTAACTAATAAAAAACTACGGAATATGATATTAGTTTGAGAAAATCTTAAGTTCTTTAAAAGTCTGACAACCTCTTTTAACCTTGAATTGCCCGCCCACATATGCCTCATGCCTGTGCCTGGAACCATTCTGGAACGTATCCAGCAAAGCAAGGGATGAGCCAGTACGAGAGGTTAATGTGCAGATGCAGACACAAGTCACTATAACGTTAATCTAACAAGTCACGTAATTGCAGTGTCAGGTTGACTAGGTTCAGGTTGACGTAGGTGTGGCGAGGGTGGGAGTCTGCGCGACATATCTCGGTCATCCTCTTCCCCTAGCGCTCAGCCGCTCACTGACAACAATAACGGGTCAGTAACATCAACACCCCTACCGTGGTCACACTCGCCCCGGACATTGGCAATTTAAATCTAATTCACG